ATTAAGCCTTATGAATAAAAACTAAGCAATTGATTTTTCTTAAAATTTCAGACCTTGAAATCTCAAGAAAAAACAACTGCTTAGTTTTTTTATTCATAAGGCCCATTCACTGAAATCTTCTTCCAAATTGTCCTCACTATCGCTTCCACTCAACGATATTTCTTCCAACCATTTTAGAATTTGTTCTTCATAGGTACCCTTCTCAAAAAGTAAAAAAAAATATTAAGTTTAAAACAGCCAACAAACATGTTAAAAACTGAAATGAGTACAGCAAACAAAATTTCCTCCCGCGCTATTAATGAACTAATATACATATCGACACCTGAGTGGAATATCGGCGGCCAGTTCGAAAACGTCCTATCTCAGAAAACTTTTCAGAATTTGGTTCAAGAACGCCCTACCTCAACTGAAAATATATTGAAAATATTTTAGATAGGGCGTTTTTGATCAGAATTCCGAAATAGGGTGTTCTTGAAAAGTTTTCTGAGATAGGGCGTTTTCGAACTGGCTACCGAGATAGGTCGATCTCTCAGGTGTCGCAAAAGGTATGTCACAGATAACGCGTCAAAATTACTTTCGCTTTGTTGCATATAACAGGATGAAAAGTTATCGATATAAGTAGGTATCGATACATTCGGTTTACTCATTTAAGTAGGTATCGATACTTTGAAGGTATCGGAACGTCCCTAGGCATACTACAATTTTTTTTTGAGTCTCACCTTCGATAACTAATGTGGAATAAATTAGTATTCGATTCCAGAACTAGGCTATTGGCCTACAAAACGGAACCTTCGTTATCGAATGTATTTTTCCTGCGTTATGAATTCGAAATCCAACCTATTATCCAATTGACATTTTAATGTGGGAGAGTGATTGCCTTATATTTCCCTTCGAAAATAAGGTGGATTTCACTTCCTCTCTTGTTACTATGGTTTTCGGTTTTTTTTCGAACCTATTTGGAGTGTATTTCCAATATACTATGAACGTTGGAAAACTAAGGTTGGTTATGAGTTCGTTCTGAGTTCGATATGCATATTTACGGTGACCATATTAACCAACGTTAAATAAAGGACATTTTTTTCAAAATGATTTGGGAATACGTACATACAACTTGTATGATAAAAGTACCTTACCCATATCGTAATTTAAATCAAATATTTACCAGCTAATTTTATTATTTAATTGTACAAGTTCCCCTGCTGTAGCGAAAAATTAAGCCAAATCCTTTTCAAGGACTTTACCATCCTTCGCTACCATAATGCGTTTACTATAATTCATACTGCACGACGAAGCCAGCGCAGAGTGGTTCAAAATTAGAATTTAATAATCATAATTCACCGGAGCCTTCATTTTTCAACCAATTTTTACTAAAAACTAAAAAAAAATATTTATTTTGGTGAACATTTTTTTATATTTCAATTTTTTTTGTGTAATTTTTTCGTTTTTAGTTTTTTTGTTATGTAACATATGGGGCATTTCACCTCAAGTGACCCAACTTTTGAAATCTATGTCTTCCGATCGGGATGAAATTTGCACCAAGGTTAGTCCTAAAAAATAGTAGTTATGACACAAAATTTCAATGGGATCGGTCAAACACACTCCGAGTTGGAGGGTCTAGAATTTTGACATTTTGGTCAAACGGCCATTTTTTCGGATCCATATAACTAATTACCTATTGTATTTAGAAAATTTTTTCAGGAATGTTTTCGATAGATTTCTCTTCAGTCTTTACAAATTTTATTTTTTTTTTAATTAAAATGATTTTTTTTTTAATTTTTTTTTAAATAAAAAATAATTTTTATGTTTTTTTTCAAAAAGGGGTATTTTTTATTTATATATTTTCTTTAAGAGCTTTGTGGTCGCTTAGTGGGATGCAACTTGTGTATCAATCAAAA